TTTGCACTCAATGGTTTGGGAGACGGTTGTGATGAATCGATATCGAATGTAGTTGTTCCCGTAGAGTTAAGGTTACTTACTGGAGATACAGTAGTGGCAGATGCTGGACTTGTGGTTACCGAAGCAATAGTTGTTGTTGCATTTCTTACTGGTTCTGTGCTCTCTGCAGCTCTAGTTGTTGCAGAGGTTGAAGGTGATACAGTAGAAACTTCAGGTGGAATATTTTTGTTTGCACTCAATGGTTTGGGAGACGGTTGTGGTGAATCGATATCGGATGTAGTTGTTGCCGTAGAGTTAAGGTTACTTACTGGAGATACAGTAGTGGCAGATGCTGGACTTGTGGTTACCGAACCAATAGTTGTTGTCGCATTTCTTACTGGTTCTGTGCTCTCCTGCAGCTCTAGTTGTTGCAGTGGTTGAAGGTGATACAGTAGAAACTACAGGTGGAATATTTTTATTTGCACTCAATGGTTTGGGAGACGGTTGTGGTGAATCGATATCGGATGTAATTGTTGCAGTAGAGTTAAGGTTACTTACTGGAGATACAGTAGTGGCAGATGCAGGACTTATGGTTACCGAACCAATAGTTGTTGTTGCATTTCTTACTGGTTCTGTGCTCTCTGCAGCTCTAGTTGTAGCAGTGGTTGAAGGTGATACAGTAGAAATTACAGGTAGAATATTTTTATTTGCACTCAATGGTTTGGGAGACGGTTGTGGTGAATCGATATCGGATGTAGTTGTTGCCGTAGAGTTAAGGTTACTTACTGGAGATACAGTAGTGGCAGATGCTGGACTTGTGGTTACCGAACCAATAGTTGTTGTCGCATTTCTTACTGGTTCTGTGCTCTCTGCACCTTTAGTTGTTGCAGAGGTTGAAGGTGATACAGTAGAAATTTCAGGTGGAATATTTTTATTTGCACTCAATGGTTTGGGAGACGGTTGTGATGAATCGATATCGGATGTAGTTGTTGCCGTAGAGTTAAGGTTACTTACTGGAGATACACTAGTGGCAGATGCTGGACTTGTGGTTACCGAACCAATAGTTGTTGTTGCATTTCTTACTGGTTCTGTGCTCTCTGCAGCTCTAGTTGTTGCAGAGGTTGAAGGTGATACAGTAGAAACTTCAGGTGGAATATTTTTATTTGCACTCAATGGTTTGGGAGACGGTTGTGGTGAATCGATATCGGATGTAGTTGTTGCAGTAGAGTTAAGGTACTTACTGGAGATACAGTAGTGGCAGATGCTGGACTTGTGGTTACCGAACCAATAGTTGTTGTTGCATTTCTTACTGGTTCTGTGCTCTCTGCAGCTTTAGTTGTTGCAGAGGTTGAAGGTGATACAGTAGAAACTTCAGGTGGAATATTTTTATTTGCACTCAATGGTTTGGGAGACGGTTGTGATGAATCGATATCGGATGTAGTTGTTGCAGTAGAGTTAAGGTTACTTACTGGAGATACAGTAGTGGCAGATGCTGGACTTGTGGTTACCGAACCAATAGTTGTTGTTGCATTTCTTACTGGTTCTGTGCTCTCTGCAGCTCTAGTTGTTGCAGTGGTTGAAGGTGATACAGTAGAAACTTCAGGTGGAATATTTTTATTTGCACTCAATGGTTTGGGAGACGGTTGTGGTGAATCGATATCGGATGTAGTTGTTGCAGTAGAGTTAAGGTTACTTACTGGAGATACAGTAGTGGCAGATGCTGGACTTGTGGTTACCGAACCAATAGTTGTTGTTGCATTTCTTACTGGTTCTGTGCTCTCTGCAGCTCTAGTTGTTGCAGAGGTTGAAGGTGATACAGTAGAAATTACAGGTGGAATATTTTTATTTGCACTCAATGGTTTGGGAGACGGTTGTGATGAATCGATATCGGATGTAGTTGTTGCCGTAGAGTTAAGGTTACTTACTGGAGATACAGTAGTGGCAGATGCTGGACTTGTGGTTACCGAACCAATAGTTGTTGTTGCATTTCTTACTGGTTCTGTGCTCTCTGCAGCTTTAGTTGTTGCAGAGGTTGAAGGTGATACAGTAGAAACTTCAGGTGGAATATTTTTGTTTGCACTCAATGGTTTGGGAGACGGTTGTGGTGAATCGATATCGGATGTAGTTGTTGCAGTAGAGTTAAGGTTACTTACTGGAGATACAGTAGTGGCAGATGCTGGACTTGTGGTTACCGAACCAATAGTTGTTGTTGCATTTCTTACTGGTTCTGTGCTCTCTGCACCTTTAGTTGTTGCAGAGGTTGAAGGTGATACAGTAGAAACTTCAGGTGGAATATTTTTATTTGCACTCAATGGTTTGGGAGACGGTTGTGGTGAATCGATATCGGATGTAGTTGTTGCAGTAGAGTTAAGGTTACTTACTGGAGATACAGTAGTGGCAGATGCTGGACTTGTGGTTACCGAACCAATAGTTGTTGTTGCATTTCTTACTGGTTCTGTGCTCTCTGCAGCTCTAGTTGTTGCAGAGGTTGAAGGTGATACAGTAGAAACTTCAGGTGGAATATTTTTGTTTGCACTCAATGGTTTGGGAGACGGTTGTGGTGAATCGATATCGGATGTAGTTGTTGCAGTAGAGTTAAGGTTACTTACTGGAGATACAGTAGTGGCAGATGCTGGACTTGTGGTTACCGAACCAATAGTTGTTGTCGCATTTCTTACTGGTTCTGTGCTGTCTGCAGCTCTAGTTGTTGCAGTGGTTGAAGGTGATACAGTAGAAACTACAGGTGGAATATTTTTATTTGCACTCAATGGTTTGGGAGACGGTTGTGGTGAATCGATATCGGATGTAATTGTTGCAGTAGAGTTAAGGTTACTTACTGGAGATACAGTAGTGGCAGATGCAGGACTTATGGTTACCGAACCAATAGTTGTTGTTGCATTTCTTACTGGTTCTGTGCTCTCTGCAGCTCTAGTTGTAGCAGTGGTTGAAGGTGATACAGTAGAAATTACAGGTAGAATATTTTTATTTGCACTCAATGGTTTGGGAGACGGTTGTGGTGAATCGATATCGGATGTAGTTGTTGCCGTAGAGTTAAGGTTACTTACTGGAGATACAGTAGTGGCAGATGCTGGACTTGTGGTTACCGAACCAATAGTTGTTGTTGCATTTCTTACTGGTTCTGTGCTCTCTGCACCTTTAGTTGTTGCAGAGGTTGAAGGTGATACAGTAGAAACTTCAGGTGGAATATTTTTATTTGCACTCAATGGTTTGGGAGACGGTTGTGATGAATCGATATCGGATGTAGTTGTTGCCGTAGAGTTAAGGTTACTTACTGGAGATACAGTAGTGGCAGATGCTGGACTTGTGGTTACCGAACCAATAGTTGTTGTTGCATTTCTTACTGGTTCTGTGCTCTCTGCAGCTCTAGTTGTTGCAGAGGTTGAAGGTGATACAGTAGAAACTTCAGGTGGAATATTTTTATTTGCACTCAATGGTTTGGGAGACGGTTGTGGTGAATCGATATCGGATGTAGTTGTTGCAGTAGAGTTAAGGTTACTTACTGGAGATACAGTAGTGGCAGATGCTGGACTTGTGGTTACCGAACCAATAGTTGTTGTTGCATTTCTTACTGGTTCTGTGCTCTCTGCACCTTTAGTTGTTGCAGAGGTTGAAGGTGATACAGTAGAAACTTCAGGTGGAATATTTTTGTTTGCACTCAATGGTTTGGGAGACGGTTGTGGTGAATTGATATCGGATGTAGTTGTTGCAGTAGAGTTAAGGTTACTTACTGGAGATACAGTAGTGGCAGATGCTGGACTTGTGGTTACCGAACCAATAGTTGTTGTTGCATTTCTTACTGGTTCTGTGCTCTCTGCAGCTCTAGTTGTTGCAGAGGTTGAAGGTGATACAGTAGAAACTTCAGGTGGAATATTTTTATTTGCACTCAATGGTTTGGGAGACGGTTGTGGTGAATCGATATCGGATGTAGTTGTTGCAGTAGAGTTAAGGTTACTTACTGGAGATACAGTAGTGGCAGATGCTGGACTTGTGGTTACCGAACCAATAGTTGTTGTTGCATTTCTTACTGGTTCTGTGCTCTCTGCACCTTTAGTTGTTGCAGAGGTTGAAGGTGATACAGTAGAAACTTCAGGTGGAATATTTTTATTTGCACTCAATGGTTTGGGAGACGGTTGTGATGAATCGATATCGGATGTAGTTGTTGCCGTAGAGTTAAGGTTACTTACTGGAGATACAGTAGTGGCAGATGCTGGACTTGTGGTTACCGAACCAATAGTTGTTGTTGCATTTCTTACTGGTTCTGTGCTCTCTGCAGCTCTAGTTGTTGCAGAGGTTGAAGGTGATACAGTAGAAACTTCAGGTGGAATATTTTTGTTTGCACTCAATGGTTTGGGAGACGGTTGTGGTGAATCGATATCGGATGTAGTTGTTGCAGTAGAGTTAAGGTTACTTACTGGAGATACAGTAGTGGCAGATGCTGGACTTGTGGTTACCGAACCAATAGTTGTTGTTGCATTTCTTACTGGTTCTGTGCTCTCTGCAGCTCTAGTTGTTGCAGAGGTTGAAGGTGATACAGTAGAAACTTCAGGTGGAATATTTTTGTTTGCACTCAATGGTTTGGGAGACGGTTGTGGTGAATTGATATCGGATGTAGCTGTTGCAGTAGAGTTAAGGTTACTTACTGGAGATACAGTAGTGGCAGATGCTGGACTTGTGGTTACCGAACCAATAGTTGTTGTTGCATTTCTTACTGGTTCTGTGCTCTCTGCACCTTTAGTTGTTGCAGAGGTTGAAGGTGATACAGTAGAAACTTCAGGTGGAATATTTTTATTTGCACTCAATGGTTTGGGAGACGGTTGTGGTGAATCGATATCGGATGTAGTTGTTGCAGTAGAGTTAAGGTTACTTACTGGAGATACAGTAGTGGCAGATGCTGGACTTGTGGTTACCGAACCAATAGTTGTTGTTGCATTTCTTACTGGTTCTGTGCTCTCTGCAGCTCTAGTTGTTGCAGAGGTTGAAGGTGATACAGTAGAAACTTCAGGTGGAATATTTTTGTTTGCACTCAATGGTTTGGGAGACGGTTGTGGTGAATCGATATCGGATGTAGTTGTTGCCGTAGAGTTAAGGTTACTTACTGGAGATACAGTAGTGGCAGATGCTGGACTTGTGGTTACCGAACCAATAGTTGTTGTCGCATTTCTTACTGGTTCTGTGCTCTCTGCAGCTCTAGTTGTTGCAGAGGTTGAAGGTGATACAGTAGAAATTTCAGGTGGAATATTTTTGTTTGCACTCAATGGTTTGGGAGACGGTTGTGATGAATCGATATCGGATGTAGTTGTTGCCGTAGAGTTGAGGTTACTTACTGGAGATACAGTAGTGGCAGATGCTGGACTTGTGGTTACCGAACCAATAGTTGTTGTTGCATTTCTTACTGGTTCTGTGCTCTCTGCAGCTCTAGTTGTAGCAGTGGTTGAAGGTGATACAGTAGAAATTACAGGTAGAATATTTTTATTTGCACTCAATGGTTTGGGAGACGGTTGTGATGAATCGATATCGGATGTAGTTGTTGCCGTAGAGTTAAGGTTACTTACTGCAGTGGCAGATGCTGGACTTGTGGTTACCGAACCAATAGTTGTTGTTGCATTTCTTACTGGTTCTGTGCTCTCTGCAGCTCTAGTTGTAGCAGTGGTTGAAGGTGATACAGTAGAAATTACAGGTAGAATATTTTTGTTTACACTCAATGGTTTGGGAGACGGTTGTGGTGAATCGATATGGGATGTAGTTGTTGCAGTAGAGTTAAGGTTACTTACTGGAGATACAGTAGTGGCAGATGCTGGACTTGTGGTTACCGAACCAATAGTTGTTGTTGCATTTCTTACTGGTTCTGTGCTCTCTGCAGCTCTAGTTGTTGAAGAGGTTGAAGACGATTCAGTTGAAATTATAAATGGAATATTTTTATTTGTACTCGTTGCATTTGAAGGCGTTTTTGTTGATACGGCAGTAAATGTGTTTTCGTGAGGTTGACGATTACTTAAAAAAAATGTAACAATCGTAGATACTTTCCTTGTGCTTGAACTTAAGGAAGACGCATTTTTAAGCTTTGCGGGGTTTTGGTTTACATTCGTAGGTATTGTTGTCCTTTTGGTACTACGTGCAGATGTTTCTGTTGTAGATTGAGTAGATTTGTTTGAATTAACGATTTGACTTAATATGTTAACACGTTTTGTTGTTGGTATGGAACCTGTCTGTCCATTAGTATTTCCATTATTAGTCATAATTTTGTTTGTTGTGCTTTTTATTTGAGTTTCAGTAGTTGCCCACGTTGGGTCGGAAATAAATATACGTTTTGTTGCCGTGGTATCTTTATTACTTTTTGGGATTTCTGTTGTTGTTGCTTTGGCAAATGTGATTAATTCACTAGGCGTATTATCGGAAGTTATTTCAGTTTGTGACTTTGTGAGAGATTTACTCATTTTGACATTTTTTACTGGGGTTATGCTGGGAGTAAAATCACTTGAAGGTGTTGCTTTGGTGAATTCTTTAGTATTTGTAAATGGCACTGGTGTTTTAGGGTTTTCGGTTGTAACTGTTCGTAAGATGGTTGTAGGATTAAGATTTAATGATGTTGTTGTTGTTTTTATGGCATTTCGAATTGACAATGTAGTTGCTGTTAATTTGTTTGTATTTATTGGTATAATTCTCGTTGTTATACTTTGTGTGGGATTGATACGGTATCTTATTAATATTTCATACGGGCTTTTTCGTATAATTTCCATTCGAGAACCAAATATTGGTGAACTCGTAGTAGTTGTTACGAAAATCAGTAAAATTATAATACATTTTGCCATAATTCATTGAAGTTCCCAAATGGTATTTTAAGGATTTTCTTTAAGGATTTATTATTTTTTTTTCTTAATTTGTTTTTTTTTTTCTTTTTTAACACTTTTTTCACAGTTTCACAATTCGATTTTGAATAGTTGATGCACTTTAAACTCACGGACAAACTGAGTAATTTAGCTATGGGAAGTCGTATTTATTAGTTTTTTCCCAGCTTCGGGCTGTATTCTTGCAAAATATTATGTGAAAATATTTGATTTTATTTGCACTATTTATTTTTTTCTTCTTATTAATACGAATTTCTAAGAATATAATTATTGATACATCTATATATATACATATATTTAAGTGTATCTTTAAAACAGCACGTGAAAAGCTAAAAGCGTTTGTTATACAATTTATACCATATACATATAGTATATGCCTATATGTACATATATAATAATATAATAATAATATTTATATATTTTATTTTTGCTAAGATTTGTTAGAGTTCTTAAAAGTAAGTATTGTATATATATATATATATATATACATATATACCAAACAAAGTAAATAGGAGCATATTTTCTGCACTACATATAATTTAATTAACAGACTTAACTGCTTTTATCGGTCTTATACGTGTTATTTAAAAATAAAATATTAAATTACTTAAATATTTTGTAGTGTGACTCAAGACTTAAATTCGATGCACTTTGATTTGACTTCAAATCAAAACAATCTAACCGGAAATAACAATTTATTTTTGTTTATATAAAGTGCAAATATTTTTATTAATATTTTGGTTATTGAATCCATCAGTCACTGTTTTATATCTTTGCCCTGAACAGTAGATGACGGTAAACCCTTTTTTTCACTGGCTTAACAGAGACAATAAAAATTGACTTATCAGATTACTTCATCTAATCTCCTAGAAAGAGCAAGGATAACACAACAAACTTCTTTCTGGCAACGAAAAACGCTTCAAATGAATCAATAGTTGTCTCCAAATGGAAGTGTTTATTCATACCAGTGTTAACCCTAGTAAGGGTGGCAGTAATCAGTGTGATACAGACATCCTTACAACATTACCTTGTTTTTCCTTGTTATAAGAAAAGCATCGTACCTGAATAAAAGACCGAAGAGGTGGTGGTACTGAAGAATATGAATCGGGCATGTTACAGCATCTTATGAAAGTTTTCTTCTCTAATGAAATAAAAAAATACATAAAGAAATAAAAGAAAAATAAAAGAAATAGAAATATAGTTCAAAAAATGAAATATAAAAATTAACTCAGAAAATTCTTAAAGTATCACATTCCCAAATGGTCACCAGTACTTCCAATCAAGTCAGAGATTCCTCCTGATGCCAACAATTTCTTACACAGCTCAAATATTATCTATTCTAATCAATAAAAAAAACTTCGTTTGCATTTAAACAATAGCGCTTAACATGTTTTGATTTATTTACTTTGGTTTTTTTATGTTCTTGTATAAATTGTAGTAAAATTATACAAAGCCGGCTAAGTACGTGAGAATATACCAATATCTTTAATTGGTGTGGAACAACAGAATTTTGATAACCGAACACTCTTAATAGCGCAAGTTAATGACCGCGACACCCATACAGTACTCACGTAACCAACATTTTCTCACAACAAAGACCTAAAATAATGTGAAATTACCACGAAGTTCTCTAAGAAGCCGCTCTGAAACATCTCTCACAAAATACCACTTACAATCGTATATTACAAATTGAAACAATGTCAGTATTAATCTATAATTGATGAAAGCAAGTCTTGATCTATCGTAACATAATACACAGATACCATTAATTAACAAATAGATAACTGTACCGGAAGTAAGTTATCGATGAAGACACGTTAGAAATAAGAACCTCTGTATAAAGCGCTTAAGTACTACCTTTGATCATTATATGTGATCTTCAATCTATTTTTTCCATTTGTTTACTTCATAAAAATAAATCTGTATGTTAACGAAGAGTTAGAAAAACTAAAAGGCGACATAGTTAAATGGATCGAAATCCTCGATATTGCTATGAAAATTATCAAAGTGTGATTAAAATTTAGCGACTACTTTTTTTGTAGTATTTAATCTTCAATGTTAATATCATTCCACATTTTATATTATACACTTATTTACCCTCTTTCATATTATACACTTCTGTCACAATAGTCGTCAATACGAAAAACTATGCTTTATATTAATAATTACAAATATAAGTATTTAATACCTAAACTTCTAAGTAATAATTACAAACTTGAATTTAAAAACCATTTTTTATATCTAAGATTGTGAGATTCTTTAATGCAGCCACAACACTAGACTATCACTTAAACTAGGAATTGTAATAAAATAATTCATCGTCGATTATGTTAAGAGAAAACTTGTTAAATTTAAAAATATTAATAACAAAGAGAAATACGTGTATACCTAAATGGGTTTTTAGGTAATTATGTGTTCATATAAATTTTATTTTTGATTATATGAAACATTTACACATTGTTAATGACCAACAAGTCATTTATTTCTAATAATTGTATACAAAAATTTTATCAAAAACAATATACTAGGATATACTTCTGCAAACACAATCTATTCAAATTCAGCAATAGTATACGATCCTGATCCTACCTAACCGTCTCGTGTTCTTCTTTTTTCTGTTTTTTTGGAGTTTTATTGCGACGTTTTTTCTTGGAATGCTCATGATTCATCAAAATGTTATTGACAACGTCTTCCGAATTAATGCCAACCTTCGTCAAGAGTTCATTGAAAACATTGTAGATTTGAAGTAAACAGTAAGCATCCAATGCTAGAAACAAAGCGCAAAGATTATTGAATTAGCCATATTAAGAGCTTTTAATAAATACTTGCCTGCATACATAACTTGCTCAGGTCGCAGAGGCCGAATAGCCCAGTTTGAACGCTGTTCACTTTTATTTAAATGTTTGCCAAAACAAAGTTGTACTATTGAACTCAAGCTTTCGCCACTAACATCGCTGTAGTCGTACGGAAATTTTATAGATCTCCATTTCAACTTTGAATAATAAGTCTGTATGTCCAAATAAGATGAATTGTATTGCATAAGAGTTTTTAATTTAAGCGATTTTGTGAGCATATGCAGATCATGAGCAATAGAAAATCCTAATTTAAGAATTTCAGTATTGTTAAAAATTTTTTGCCAGAAAGCTGTCCATAAATCAGCGGCTATATTATTTGAATCACAATCTATAATGTATACATTGTCGTACGTGGCCACTTGCAATAGAGAAACACTTGCGTCAACACAAACAGTTGATCTCCACTCGGAATCGAAACTTATTATTTGTTGAGTTTCTAGATGATTTATCATGTCCAACATTTCTTGATTACATTCAACGTGTAATATTTTAACGGCATTCGTATCGAGAGTCATATAACCCTCTTTAGGTATTTTATCATTTAAATTCGAATTATAGACATATTGACTATTTGTACTTTCTGTGGTTTGGTGATTTAATAATGTTTGTTGTACTAATTCGGGACAATCATCAGGTGGTAAATTGATAACACGTGCCCAATGAACTGCCTCCTCTACATCGTAATCACAGATATGGTATAATAAATTTTTATGTACTTCGACATTTGAAGTGATCATGAGTTGTTCACGAAATGCTTCTACACTTATTTTACCGTCTTTAAACTCATGATAGTAATAGCGTAAGCTACTACATTCGTGTCCAAAAATAAAATTAGGTATATGCTCGCTACTTATGTTGTACTTCTTCGATAATCTGGATACCAATTTTGACATTGTACGTATGTTCATATAAGCACTTCGAATCACTGTTATGTTATATTTGCTAAAAAAAGAAAACATTTACATAAACATATAAACATAAATTGTTAATTATTTAAAACAAAAAATTATTTAATTAATATTAACAATTTACTACATACCAAAATATAGGTTCGCAGTATTCTACAACACTTTTTTTCTTATCAATTAATGTATCTAAGAACTTAACAAGCCTAACTTGTTCAGCTTCTTTGTCAGCAATGCAAGTCTCCACAACGGTAGTCTTCTCTTGTAAAATAAGGGGAAAAAGGAGTTCCTCCGTTTCAAATTTATCCATTATATCTAAACTTGATGCCCAGTATAAAGCCTTAAATAAATCAATACCAATTTAACTTTTTAAAAATTATATAGACGTGCAGTATTATATACTCACTTCTTTGTACATATCCTTCGAGGCCATGTCTCTGAGTACAGATGAGATCGTTTCTGATATTTTATGCAAATCGTAAACTTCTGTTATTTGTTTGCATAAATGCAAGTCTCCACACATTTTAATAAAGTTAAATGCCACCATACGAACTTCGTCATCACAGTCATATTTGCCAGGGTTCGATTTAACAAAGTCCGCAGTTATAAAAAGCACTTCAAATAAACCAAACTTATATTAACTTATTTAGTAGCTAAATTTTCTATTATATTATTATATATTATTTAATTATATATGATGTAGCTAAAGTAGCGCTAGTGAAAATTATTAAGCAATCATACTATTATTACAGCAGCTTAAATCTACTTCCTCTATATCCTATTGAAGAAGTAGAGACTCCTCAATCGCTAGATAACGTTGTGGAAACCTTCACAAAAGCTTGCAACATAGCCTTGGACCGTTCTTGCCCACTAAAATCACAGAGGGGAAAGAAAAAGCCATTGTGGTGGTCCGAGGAAATAAGAGATCTTAGGAAATCAAGCAGAAACTTGTTTAACAAGGCCAAGAGAAGTAATCTTAACACTGACTGGGACATCTACAAAGTCAGTCTAAAAATATATAAAAATGAAATAAAAAGAGCCAAAACACGCTCCTGGAAAGCCTTCTGTGAAAGCGTGGAGGGTTGTCAAGGAACAGCAAGGTTTAGGCGCATTCTCTCGAAGAAACCCTCTAATCTAGTCTACTTAAAAGACGAGGTCAATGGGTGGACACATAGCAGCGAAGAATCGGCGGCATTGTTACTGAATATACATTTCCCAGATAGTGACATACCAAATAACCTTGGAATAAACCAGGGGTCTACATGTGACTCATCTGTGGTGAATAATATTGTCACCAGAAGGAAAATTAAGTGGGCTATAGATAGCTTTCTACCATACAAATCACCGGGCCTGGATGGAATTATACCAGCCCAACTTCATGAAGCAAGGGACATCTCTTGCAATTGGCTCACACCAATCTTTAAAGGTTGTCTTACCTTGGGGCATATACCAGAGAAATGGAAATTGACAAAGGTCGTTTTTATTCCTAAAGCTGGCAAAAGCTCCCATATTACGCCTAAAGATTTTAGACCGATTAGTCTATCCTCTTTCCTCTTAAAAACTTTAGAAAGGCTTCTGGAGCATTTCATTAGGAAAGAGATACCAGATGAAAGGCTTTCAAAATCACAACATGCGTACTGTAAAGGAAGGTCTGTAGAGACCGCATTATCATCTCTA